TACACTTTTGAAAAGATCCTAAAGACCAACTTTTCAAAGGTAGTTTTGCTGCCTGAATCCATGCACACAGACACAGACCTAACATTTTCTGAGCAGCAGTTTGCTGATTTGCAACTGGATATAAAATGTTACTGTAACGCAGGTTAGTTTTCAATTATTATCCTTGTTTTTCTTTTACGTTTGTCTTTTCCTGCCTTTTTTTCAAATACGCTATTTTTCTTTTTCTTGCTTTCAGATCAGGATTGAAAATACAGCTTTTGGAAGAGATACTTCCAGAGCAGTGTAAAGACCACAGCCTATAAGAACACCTTGCAGCCTGTGATATCCTGCGTGTTTAATGTGAGAAACTACTGAAAAATGAATCAAAATAAGCGTATTCAAGTAAAGATGTAAACTGGAAATCTATAAGAGGATTACACCCCTCACAAAAATGGATATAGTAAGTTTTCAGGACAAATAAAAGACCTGATTATATTATGTTTTGGTTATATATGGTAAAAAGTAAGAAGCAGAAGGTAGAGGATATATTCCCTTTGTAAAGGGTATAACTCCTCCTTAAAGGACAGTAGAAATCCAAACCATAGAAAACAGCCTCTAAAAGGTAATTATTTTCTTACTTTTAGCTGACACGTCCCACTATCTTGCTGGCAACTCCTGAGCAGCAGATTCCAGATGCATTTCTCAGTGTAAGGCAAAGCTGACTTTGAAAAGCGGGACCCTTGCAGTCTTCAAACAAAGCACAACAAGACAAAAACAAACCACAACAGATATCCCAGGAGGTTACCTGCGGAGTCACAAAAGTTCTGTGAAGAGGCTGCTCCATTTGTTCGAACGTCCTCTGGGTCGTCTCCCTGTGGGTTTCTTTTGTAACTGCTGTCTTTAAAGTACAAATGTGATAGGTACTTCAGAAACGATGGCAGATGATAAGTTAGACAAGCATGCATTGAAAAAGGGAACTACAGATTTAACCACAGGATGGAAGGTTCCATACAAGCACAGAGTTCAGCCCAGAAATGCTTTTACTTTATTTATTGAGGGTTAATTATATACCATAGTCTGGTAATTCTCTAACAACTTTGCAAGAGCAGGAACATCTAATGACTGACTGCAAAGAAATAATCTATACCCAGCTACCTACTGACCACCGCTGATATCCCAAGTTGTCCTTCCCCTAGAAAATAAAATCCAAACACTGCTGGAAAACTGTGCAGGTTTTGTCCAATGGTTTTATACTATCTTGTCCAATGCTCTTGCCGAACAGCCATGTGCACATCAGTGCATTTTGAGAAGTTACCAGCACCTAACTAGCTGTTAAGAAGTTACCAGCTTCCTAACCTGCTGCTGAGAGCTTTGAGCTGTGATCCGTAGGGTTGGATAAGACAGGCTGACAAGCAGCAGAAACCAACCCAGGGGCCTAGAGAAGAGCCTGCAGAAAGTGGGGCTGTATCTAATGGAGTTACAGGAAGGATGAGAAGGCAGCTAATGACTTACATTCCTTAACAACCTGGACTGCAAGTGCAGAGAACCCTATTAAATATGCAGGTGACACAAGCTGGGAGAGATGAGTGCTTTGGAGGCTAAAACTAGAATTAAGAAAGGTCTTGACAAATTGGTGGAAATCGGGTGCAGTTCAATATGGACAAGCTCTCAACTGCATTTAGGCATTATCAACTGTAAATTACTAGCTACAAATAATCAATAATGAACTGATTAGGTATCTGTTCTGCAGAAAAGGATCTGGGGTTTTGGAGGGTAATAAACTGAAGACGAATAACAATGTTATACACTTGTGAAAAAGGCCCCTCAGGCCAGGAAAAAGCGAGTGTCTTCTGCAAGACATGTGAAGTAATCCTTCTGCTCTGCACAGCGCTGATAAAGCCTCCGTTCACGTGCACTGTGTCCGGCTCCGCTACCGCACTTGAGAAAGCCATGGAGCAGATCCAGTACACAGCGAAGGATGCTACCACAGCCTAAGAAGTACCAGTGAGGAAAAAAGTTAAGGGAAGACTCGTGCAGAAATGTAATACGTTAAGGCTTTCACATGCTCTCCAAGTCCATTGGGCTGGGACTGGAAGATAACGACAAGTAAAATATCGGGGAAAGCTTTCAGTGTTGGATAGGAAGCAGCGGACCAGGCGCCCAAAGACTGAAAGAAACTCTGTCACTGGGCTTCTGTAGCCAAACATCAACCAGGAATGACGGTCATAACCAAATCCTGCCATCAGGCACAGACATAAATGAGATGACTTCCTAAGGTCTGGCCAGCCCGTATGTCTCTGAAAAAACGGCTAATTGCTGGGCAGAGAGCTCTGATATCTACATCAAAATGTTTCTGCACAAAAGAGATAAATTCTAAAGGTGGAACAGGAATTTAATAAGAAACAGTTGTCACCAAAAAAAAGGGTGAGAAAAGGTTATGTTCTTACACAGGCCTGACTACATTATTGTAGATATGAGATTTTTCTTGGAATAGGTCATTCCAAAGAAAACCCTTTTGTGCTCGTAAGCATACTCCTGTCTGCAGTGAGGTGCTGATTTGTTAGGTGCTTAAAAGTCTGGAGAGAGATGTGTAATGTTTCTTCCCAGCTACCAAGAAACCTGTAGCACTCCTTTTGCTGAGACAAAGATTTATTTG